GAAATAGAGCTCACTGAATGTGAAAGGCAATTTAGCTTTCTCTTCCTCTTTTTTCTTCAAGTCTTACACTGCTAACACAGAAGATAGTGAACTGTTAGTGTACAAGCCAAGGAAGAACTGATGAGGGAGACTACCAAACTGCTTCTCCTGGCAATTCCTATTTTACTTTGAAACTGGAAGGCAGGTTGCAACAATGGCCTTACACAGACTGAATCACAGCATAATGTATAAATCAAGAATTAAAACTAGACCAAAAATCTGAACACAATGTTTCAAGTACACAAAAATTACAGAGTTAACAATGCAAGTCTTACTTTTTCATTCTATAAAAAGCTGATGCTCTGTTTGTGGGCAATATTGGATTGTATGGATCAGAATGCATCCCTCTAGTATAGCATTTTATAGCTTCATCAAAGTTTCCTTGTTTAAAGTAGTTATTACCCTGTGAATAGAAAAAAGCATTTTCAGCAAGTTACTGTACATTGGCAGACACATTGCTAATTAAAAACCCTTAAAAAATCAAAATATTCTAGAAATGCTTCAATAATTTTGTTCAGCATTTCTCATTAAATACTGCTTTACTATGAAATATGCTATTTTATTCTAAGTGCACCATATTTTCATTATATATTCTATAACATAGGGCTATTAAACATTCATTTTCAGTATCTCTAGGTCATTTCCACAAACATGTAACAAGGACATACATAGCTATTTACATTACTGAATGGGTTTTTTTCAAGTTTTTAGTAACTAGGTTTGGCATCTTAGCTTTCCAAGTCAACATTCTCATTTTTGCCTCCTCTGGGACACAACTTTTACCTCATGCACCCTCAATGAACTCACTGCAGCCAAGATAACAATAGCCAAAGATACCTCAGCTTCTCAGTGTAGACTGCAGATTACACGTGAAGGAATTCCCACAGCAGCAGGAACACAAATATCACCCACACAAACAATTTAAAACAGACAACTCACCCCACAAAAACCCAAAACAAAGCTAGAACTACTGAAGTCAATATTGACTGGCAGATGGATTAGGTGATTGTTTACAATCATAGAAGTTTATCAAAAACACAGAAGTTGCTACACAACTTAGCCTCTTTCTCATGACAACAAAGCCTGAGATAGCCTTTCTACATCCTACCTTATTAGGTAAAACTGAAGTAGTATAAACTTGCTATTATTAAAGCAATGAAGTTCACCCATCATTCCCAGATGTACTGGCCTCACAAAAGGAGTATTTTAAAATTTTTATAGATTTAGTTTGGGGCATTTAGGTAAAAACCAGTTTGCTCTGTATAGCAATTCTATACAGCCATCCAACTTCTCAAAGCAAATCATCACCAATACATTACATGCATACATTAGTTAGAATCTGCCACGCTTGCTGCTACTGACAATGAGAAGGGCTAGAACTGCAGTGAGAAATTTCTATTTTGGACTAATGGGCAGGGAAACAGACAGGAAGACTTCCAAAGAGGCAATTATTTTACCAGATGCATGATCTCAGTATACGATCTTTTAAAAGAAAACTGCAAATACTCCTATACTTAATTTGCTTCTTTATCAATAATAAGCATCTATAATTCTATAACCTTTTCCTTCTCTGCAAGAGCCTTTTCAGCATCTACATGAATTCCATCTTCTTCAGAGTCTGATTCTGGAGATAGAGAATCATGAGTACTATCTTCTTTATCAATTTCTTCAAGTATTTTATCCTGGAATAAAAAAAAAAAAAAAAACCAAACTGTTGTCTTCATTATAATTTAACAGTGCAAAATAATAAAAGTAAGATTTTATTAATATGTCCTCCAATACTGACAGTTGTGCTTAGTTTTACATTCTACTATAATTATGACCTTTTAATAGGCCTATTGTTAAAACAAGTTTTTTTCCCCTTAAACTGAAATTCCATCTGCTGGATGAAAGCACAGTCAATAGAAAACCAAGTATTTATCAATATTCCAGATAAACATGTGACCTTTTTGGGAGAAAGCTACCTGATGTTCATACAATACCCAGCACAGTAAGATACTGACTAGCGGACTGAATTTTCAGCACTGTAACAAAATTTTATTTAACACAGAATCAACTGGGGACAAGACTTTGGCAACAAAGCAAATCTTGAGACTCACCACATCAAGTTTTCCCCATGCTTCATAATCGTAAGACTTGATCTTGTTTTTCTTGTTTTCCTCAGAGGTTATCTTTGAAGGGACTTTATTTTTGCTTTTCTTCTTTTTCTTAAAACCCTTGTTTCGAATTGGTGGCAAATTCTAAATAGAATTAAGTAACTTTTTATAAAACAGATGTGTGAAAATCACTTGCACTGAAGAATCTACAGCACCTGTATCTAGACAGAATATCTATTTAGTGGCTAGTTTTATTTTAGAGATCCATCCAGCAAGCTGTCCCCATGAGCTCTAAAAAACCATTAAGAGCTACAAGCATAAATCTTTCAACACTTAATAGTAAAAATTACATGCATGATCTAAAACTCAGTTTTAGAAGACAACTCTCTACAGAGTAGCACTGAAGAATCACTTCAGTATACTAAATGTCAGCAGTAAATTACCAATACCGATGCTGCAAACAGAAACATTCTCACAGATCTACCCAGAACCAATAAAACATTTACTGGCCTCATCACCTTCAGAGGCTACTGACCCATAGCTCTGTTAGTGGTGCAGTTCACAGAGAAATCTCTTGCCTACTTCAGGTGAAGAACACATCATGGATTAGTTTATGCCTTCTATTCAGATATTTAAGTAAAAAATGTAATTTTGCCTACGTAAAAAATAATTATTATAAACACTATCACAGTATGAATAGCTGAGTTGACACTGGTCTTGTGTTTTCTTACCTCTTCTGGGACCCCACTCTGTTTCCTGAGCTCAGAATCCACTTCTTTAATATCTTTTTCCCAGCTCTCCAATTCTCTCACAAAATCCTGCAGCTCTTCAGCATTTTGCTTCACTTGCAGCTGCAGTTCTATTGCTTTACTTGGTGCACTCATCATAATCTGCCAAAATTCAAGGAAAAAAGCCTTCTAAAAAGAAGTTGGAAGTATGTAGTGAAGGAAGCTGGCTACTTCTAAATTAACAAGTCTGACTTATATGCCAATCAGACTTCCCAATAGTACGGTAGGAACATTAAACACTAGGAGACTAAGAAGAAATACAGTTTAAATGTCTTTGAAAAAATGAAGGGAAGCCATATCATTCAGATAAAACAAAGTATATCATAACAAACAGCAATTCACATTTTCCTAACTAAACATAAGGTAAAGCACCCAACAAGTCAATGGTAATTCTGAAATTGCAAGCCAGTCCCTAAAACACTGTTTAATAATTAATACTTGACTATCTTCATAAATTTTGTTGTCTTAAGTGAAAGAAGTTTTATAATCACAAAAATATCAAGTCACAATTAAAAAGTAACCTTAAAAATATTTTGGTTACAATTCAGAAAAAAAGAAACCCCACATGTGTACAGTTCATAGCACAAAAATCTGAAAGGAAGAAGCAAACATGTTTTGAAAACAATCCTAATTAAATAACTCATTATAAGCTAAATACAAAGAGTTATAAATGGTTGCTAACTATAACCTCTTGATGGCAACCTTCAGGATCTGTTACAAGCCTCATGGAAATATAAATAAGCAATTTGTAGAGATACTACATAAAAAGCTTTTAAGGAAGAAAAAGGTGTAGGTTATCTGACATGCTTTATTTAATGTTATTTTTCACACCTAGTAGTAAAACAATCTAAAAATTTATAAAGCAAAGAAAGTTAATGATTTCTGTGGTACAATGTGCCATCCATAATTACAGAGAAGGGTCTCAAAGAAATGGAGGAACACACTGCACTATTACTACTGAACTAATGCATGCTCATGAATAAGCAGCTGCATAGATGTCCTGCTGCAGCACTTTGTTTCTCCCTAGTTCATGCACAGGTGGTGACATAATTATCCTGAGCAACGTGTAAGGTCTATCTGAAACAAAAGAAACTTTCAGTGAAGCCAAAAATACATAGCTTTTATCACGTTTCCAGTTAAGGAGCTTATTATGTTTTTTTCCACATTCAACTATTGTCTCATGCCAAACTAACACTGGAATATTCAGTCTGTTAATTTCGTGCAACTTGGGCATGGACATATCAAATACTTCATACAGCCTAGCATTTCTAGGTAACTAGAACATGATACTTGAAAATATGCAAAAAAAACCCTTGTAACTTGCTGAATTTTTCCTTTTCCTATTTCTAAGTAAAACAGTATTTTCACGCGGGCGAAAATCTAACGTGAAATCTGGCTGTTTGCTCTCTGCAACTCTAAAGCATCCTGCTGATGCTATAAAGTCAAATTGCTCCGTTACCCACTAGTCGCACACAACTTAGCAATGACCTTAAGCCTCTGCAGCGTAGAGGGCACTTTTATTCGACTCCCAACACTGACCCCTTCCAACACCCCAAGGCTGCTGATTCCAGCGACGCCTCTGGACCGGCCGCACACGGCGGCGGGCCGGCCGGCAGCACAGGCCCGCCCGGGAGCGGCGCCGGGGCCGCCCCGCGGGAGGCCCCGAGGCAGAGCGGCCCCTGAGCCTCAACACCCGCCCCTGCACCGCCCGCAAACTGCAGGCGAGGCCTTGACTCCATCAGGGTGCGCTCCCCCACGCCTCGCCTCGCCACCCCGCGCAGCAAAGCCGCCCGTGGACCACAGGGGTGGCGATGGGGATGCGGCTGCGGGAGGGCGCCGCCGGAGCACCGAAGCGCCGTACCCCGCGCTCGCCTCGCCTCGCCGCGCCGCACCCCGCACCCTCACCCGCACCCTCACCTGCGCCACGCCGCGGCTCCCCGCGCGCCGCCGCCCGCGCCGCCCCGCGCGTTCCCAGGCTGCAGCGCGGCTCCGGGCGGCAGGAGACCACAGCGCCTGCGCGCGCGGCCCCGCTCCCACGTGCCGGCAGCGCGGGCGGCGGTTGGCGCGGCCGGGCCCGCGTGCCGCCCGCAGGCGCGGGACGGCGCGGCCGGACATGGGGGAAGGGGAAGCCGGTTCGCCGCCGGCGGCTGAGAGGAAAGGGGCGGAGGAGGAGGAGGAGGATTTCGGCTACCGGCTCTTCCCGGACCGGAATAAGAAGCCGCAGAGCTTCCTGGTCCGCAGCCTCTTCACCTTCCACAATAAGTGCCAGCTGATGCTGAGGCTGACCCTGGAAACGAGTAAGCGCTCCCCCGCCCTCCCGCGGCCCGGCCGCGGCGCGAGGAGGCGCCGAGGCGGAACCCGGGCCGCCCGCGGCCGTGACCTTGTGACGCGGTCCCGGCTCGGGCCCTGCCCTCCTGCCGCACCACCCCCGCGGCGGCCGGACTGCGCCCCAGCCCAGGGACTACTGCTTTAGGAACACGCTGATTTCGGTTAAGACAAAATACAATTTCGAAAGTGGCTGAGAGAGGTGTTTTTCTTCTAAGAAGGTTCTCATGTACTCCTTTGTTTTTCCTGAGAAATTTAGATGATTTGTCAGTTTCCCTTCATTCGTGCCCGCTGCACTTTTTGATGTGGACTGTGAGTGTTGACAGCAAGTGATGGTCACTCTAGGCCGCTTTATTTATGTTATTAGTAATAAAATAATGTCAGGAACTACTTGATTCCTGGACAGGTTTTACTCTATATCCTGGGCTACATCAAAAAGGCCATAACTAACAGGTTAGGGGAGGTCATTCTTCCCCTCTATTCTGCTCTCCTGGGACTGCAGCCAGGTCTAATGCCCCCAGCATAAGAAGAAGATGGAACTGTGGGTAGGAGTCCAGATCAGGGCTGTCCAGTTGATAAAGGGCTGGAGCACCTCCCCTACAAAGACAGGCTGAGAAAGTTGGGGCTGTTCAGCCTGCAGAAGAGAAGGCTGCATGGAAACCACACAACAGCCTTCCAGTGTCTAAAGGGGTGTACGTGGAAGCCAGACAGAGACTCCTCATCAGGAATTGCAGTGATAGGACAAGAGTGATGAGTTCAAATGGCAACAGGGAAAATTTAGGCTAGATATACAGAAGAAATATTTTACTGTGAGGGTGGTGAGGCACTGGGACAGTTGCCCAGAGAAGCTGTGGTTGCACCATGCCTGGGAGTGTTCCAAGGCCCAGTTAGATGGGGCTCTGAGGCACCTGGTTGAGTGGAACATGTCCTTGTCTAAGACAGGGGGACTGGGACTAGTTTATCTCTTAAAGTCCCTTCCAACTCAAACTATTATATGATTCTATATCACATAGCTTGATTTGTAACAGATGCCAATTGCATTGCAATAGGATTAAATACAGCAAAGTATAAATTTGTGTGTATAGACATTTTCTTATTTGATTTTTTTCCTTGACTGTCTTTATATTTTGTTTATAGATGATTTTCAATACTTTTGTCTAGCGAAATTGATTGCAGCAATGTTTTTCTAGATCCATATGCTCGACTTCTCCTTGAGGCTCTGAAGCAATCTGGTTGGTATGTAAACTAATTAGTCTTGTTCTGTGTAGTAACTTCATCATCACAGTGATAAGTAGCCACTCAAGTTTTTCAAATTCTTTTCTGTGACTTTGTTTGTTTTGGCCTTTCAGCACTGTCTTCAATGACCGGCACTTTTCTTGTGAAAACTGTGATGGCTGTGTCAGTGGAGGTTTTGATGCTGCGACATCTCAGGTAGGTGCTGGACCCTTTCAGAGGACTGCAATTTTTTTAGTGTTTTGTTGCTAGGATTAAATCTACTCATACTGATACATGAGCTCATGAAGACAAGATAAATGAAAGATGTTCCACGGCATTGGAACTAGTACACTTCAGTATGATAAGGCTGTTAATGTTGAAAATAACCAATCCAAACACCCTACATGCTGTCAGTGGTGTGTCTCTGAGAAGTAAGGGAGGTGTTGAAACTTAGTGAAAACATACCTTTATCTCTTCTTCTGCAGATTGTTCTGTGTCAGAACAACATTCGCCAACAATCCCACATGAACCGGGTGGTCACACATGAATTGATTCATGCATTTGATCACTGCCGTGCACATGTTGACTGGTTTAAAAATGTCAAACACTTAGCATGTTCAGAGGTAAGTTAAAATGCTTCTAATGTTGTCATTTTATTAATTATTGCTGGTTATTAGGGCTGCTTTGTGTTACATGGTCTGTTACACACAATTAATTTGTTTTAATCCTGTTAATAGTTTTTGTTCTTTCTGTCAGGTCACCTAAATAGTTTTGTTAAGAAAATAAATACTTAGTTGTCATAAATATTAGTTAATGTCATACTAAGTAGAATGTGATCACTGTGAGTGCTAGAAATGGTTATTGACAAATAAGAGAGTTGTTACAAGTGAAAATACATTTTCACATTAATCAAATGCTTATAGAATTCTTTTTATCCCATGGAAGTCATGGTATGTTGGATAGTTATCACATTAACCTTGGTTTTGTTTAGGTGTTTTCGATTAACAAAAAACTTGTCTTTTCCTGTAGCATTCATTTTTTGAGTCATTGTGATATTGCTGCTAGTAAACTGTCCTTATGAATTCATCACCTTTGGATGAGGTTCTGAGCAACCTGGTCTGTTGGAAGGTGTCCCTGCCCATGGCAGGGAGATAAGAACTTAATGATTTTTAAGGCCCATTACAAGCCAAACCATTCTATGATTCTGTGGTTTCAGAGGACATTTGAGTATTAAAGGCCTTAACACTTGACACTTTAGGAGGTGAAATTAAATGGAGCACAGGCTGGGAGGGATTCCTCTTGTGTATGTGACACGGGTGTTATGTGTATGAATCTACATACTTTTATTTGATTTCTGAAATAATCCACATCATGTTGTCATAGAAAAGTCTATCCCAGGCTCAGCTTCGCTCTTTCATTTCTGATTCTTTTATCTCCTTCCCTGCCAAGTGGCACAGGGAGCCAGGGAATGTGAGCTGTGGTCAGTCCATAACACTTTGTCTCTGCTGCTCCTTCATCCTTGCACTCTTTCCCAGGTCCAGCTTGAGGCCCTTCCCTTTCATGAGATGCTTCAACATGAGTCTTTCCCTTGGGCTGCTGTTCTTCAAGACTTACTCCAGCTTGAGTTCTTTCCACAGCATACAGTCTTTCAAGAATGGACTGCTCCAGCATTGGTCCCCCAAAGCCCACAGTTCCTGACAGAAAATGTACTCCTGCATGGGCTCTCTATGGGCTGCTGCTTTTTTCAGGGCATGTTTGTCTCTCGTGTCATGCTGTCTTCCTTAGACTGCAGTGTGGATATCTGCTCTACAGTATTCCTTCACAGACTGCAGGGAAACAACCTCTGTCTCTATTACCTTCTCCTCTGATGCCTGCAGCACCTCATCCCCATCCTTCCTCAGCGTCTGTAGGCCTGTTTCCTTCACGTTTTCATCATTTCTCTGTCTCACAGCTGCCCTGTAGTTTTATCCTTTCTTGAATGTGTCATCACAGATACAATCAGCACCACTAATGGTGGCTCTCTTTTAAAACCAGTTAAAACAGTCTCAGACACTTCTTCAGTCTCACAGAAGCCACCCTGGGAGGCCCCTCATTTTGCCATATAAACCCAATACAATAATTCTTAACTATCATATACTTTTTTTTTTTTTTTGTTCAAGCGTTTCTACAGTGCAGAATAAAGCCTGTAAACCTCAAACATAAGTTTTATATAAATCAAGATTGTGCATGTTCTTGCTCTTGTCAGGATTATTTGTTCACTTCAGGTCTTTTGATTACTTAATTATATGGTATTTACATTTTTTGTTGACGGCTTTTTTAATTCTTAATTTTTCATGCATTTATTTTCACTCTGGTACTTAATTATAGGAAATCATTATTTATTTACATTTCCTAACAGACTCTGTAGGGTATAGAATATTTAGCAGACAGAAGAAATTCTAGTGTACAGGACAAGACATTTAGGCTAAACCATACATGCTCATTTACATGCAGCTTTTTGCAAAACAGATGGTTACTGCTCTTCAGGTATTGCATCTGTAATCTTTGAAAGGTATCTGCCTTTCTTCCTGACTGCTGTAACAGATTCTGATATAGACTGGGGAGAATATTACTTTCCATGTTCTTCTAGAGGTTCATCTATATACATACACACATACATATAATCTCTACTGCTCATTTATTTAAACTTTAGGGATGTGTGAGAGGTAGTTACTGGAGAAACTTGAAGGTTGTTGTAGTTCACCGAGGCTGAGATGGATGTAAAGGGTATGGTAGTAACAGGTAGTTGAGAAGTTGAAGTGGACTTGGGAATATCCTCTACCAACAGTTACCAGAAATATAATGAAGAAAAGCATTTGTTAAAATTTATTTGACTTTTTATTTTCATGTGTTTCTCTGATCTTGTGATTTTTTAAATTTTCTCAATAGATTCGAGCTGCTAATCTCAGTGGAGACTGTACTTTGATGAATGAAATAGCCAGGTTTAAATTTGGATTGAAAGGGCACCATCAGGTAAAAACTGTGGCTATTAAAATCTAGTAATTTGTTATGTTACCTATGTGGTCTTAGCCTTCTGAACTTTCATAGCTGAAAACTTTGGAAAAAGAAATAGATGCCATGGAGTTGCTGTTTCCTCTTAACTTACCCTTAATGATCAATGGTAGGTTTTTTTCCCACCTTATTATTTTTATTGGAGTGAAATCCCTGAACATTTAGTCATGTTTTAAAGCATTACCACTGACAACAGATGGCTAATAAAACCAGTCAAAAAGCGGGCTGGAGGAAATGTAGTGGAAATACCTTATCCATTTAAAGTGGGTGACAATCTAAAAAAGTCTTTGAAAAAGGAAGGAAGCAAAATGAGAAGATTTCTAAATAATCATGTGTATTAAGTCTTGCAGGAATTATTTTTGTGAATAGTAATGAAGTCTACAGATTGAGACCCAAGTAGTTGCTCATGTTAGAGTGGCAGTTAGCTTGTAGATAGTGTTTACATATTTTTTGGTCTTTCAGTAAACAAACTGTAAGAAAAAGTTACCATAAAGTGAAGTATCAAAATGAAGGCCAGTAGAGAAGCCATTCCTTTGTTTTATAGCATTTCAGTTTTTAAAGAACTTAACTGTTATTTGTGTCTGTCTCTTTCTGACTTTTTTTTTTTTGTGTCCAGGTCAAATTTTACAAATATGTAGTGCCTACAAAAATACCAAATTATATTTCAATTCCTGTTCTAAGGAATGTATTTTAATTATTTCATAGTTTATGTATACATGGAAAACTAAAGCACATGGTTTACACAGGATGGAATTAAAATGTTATTTAATGCTTACTACATGTACTGTTTGCCTATTCTTTCATACAAAATTGTCGCTTATATAATAGGAGTTAATACTTGACAAAATCTGAAAACCCATTATGCTAATAATTACGGATTTTTTTTTTTTCACTTTAGACTTGTGTACGAGACAGAGCAATTCGTTCCATTCTGGCTGTTAGAAAAGTTAGCAAAGAAACAGCAGAAAAAGCTGTGGATGAAGTTTTTGATGCCTGCTTCAATGATCTGGAGCCTTTTGGAAGAATCCCCCACAGCAAGGCAGATGCAAAACGTGCTTACAGAGACTTTCAGAACAGAGATCGCTATACTGCTAATTTGTAAGGGAGGGGGAAGAAAAGCCATGTGAGAAATTGTATTAATACCTGATTGTTCAGTAACATGTGGAGTTATAGTCTATGCCCACAGTGCTTGTGGAAGCAGCAAAATCTGTCAAACATATAAAATTAATTTTTCATGAGCCAGCTTCTGTGGAAGTAAATGGGGTAAATGAACACAACTAAAAACAGTGCTTCCTCACCTGTTATTCCAGAAAGATAATTTAGTATGCCAAATGACTCTTCAAATACAATTCAATGTGCTTTTAATTTTTTTCACTCTGTCTGACTAGGACTTGGTTTCTGAAAATTTTGTTGTCACTGAATAAAAATTTCCATAAAATCATTATCCCTGTCTTCATTACACAGTAATGAACTTGATAATCTTCATCACTTGATTTTAACAGATGGGCACCTGAACTACAGCTCTGTGCTCTAGACTTAATAACTATGGCTAAACCCAAAATTAGGTAATTACCACATTTGCTGAAATTCTTGGGTGGTCTAACATTTCCAGTGGTGGGAAAGCTTTTGTGACTTGAGTCCTTTGTGCCCTGAACATGCTGCTCAGGTCCTCATTGTCTTTGGTATTGGAGGACTGGGTAGGATGATCAGAGTTGCCTTTTCCCGTTTTGTGTTCCAAAGTGTTTTGTGACAACAGAACTGTCAAGGTATGAAGCTTTTTCGGGCAGTACGTAATTTGACTAATGGAGCAGCAGACTCTGTGAGACTTGAGCTGCAGTGAGGCACTGAACGGCTCAGGAAGGGAAATGTCAGCACATGCACCAATTTCAAGAGCCTGACATGCTACAGCTAAAAGGGGGAGGTAATCCCAAGTACCTTCCGAATTTGGCGGCCTTTGACCGGGCCCTTGTTTGACTGTAGACTTGGGCTCCCACAATCCACCTATTTCACATGCCTACAATGTTTTGGATATCACCATCTTTCTGTAATTTTCTTCTGGGAAGTATTCAGTCATGTGATAAATCTCCAGCCCTGCTTCTAAGTGTCTTTCAGTAACAAGATGCCTGAAGATGACAACAGCGTGTTGCTTTTTCCTGATCAGCGGCAAACACTTGGAGAAGATTAAAACCTAAGCACAGTCCTCACAAAGGACAAAGCAGAACACACACAAATGCCTGAGAGAGATGATCAAGCATGAATTGCCTGAGTTCTGTTTGTGTTGGACTATGTGTGGGTTGCATTTATTTCCAGTTGTAGCATAATGCATACCTACGGGAACCATTGCTTCTGGGGCTAGCATTGATGTAGATCCCTGTAGCATTGAAAGTCATCCCCATTGTACGGGAGGAAGTTAGGTCTTGACTAAGATTCTTCAAACATGTGCTTTCAGTAGTTTTACAGAATTTGAAATGGAGATTTCATAATCATATTTTCCTGGGGTAATTCATCAGTGACTGACATAATCTCATGGCTGAATATCTGAACAGAAAAAGAAATGGGTATAATAACCTAGATACCTATGGAGAAAATTACGCATTGAATTCTAGGCTTCCCATTTTCCCTATAGTCTCTATAGACCTGCAGTTTCCAAAATCCTCTGAGGATCAGAGATGCCTTGAAATCTGCATAATAGTATCTGTTAATATTCCCTTAATCTTTTACTGTTCTTCAAGTCACCATTTTAATCAGGATGATGTATGATACTGGGTTTTTTATAGTTGTGACATATATTCTGGCCAATAATGCCTTCCCTTCATTATACCTTATTAACCAAAGTTCTGCTTTAATGTGTGTGTGTTTGCATTTATATTGCATTTTGACTAATACATAGTTTGAATATATACATTTGTCTATCTGGGATAAGCTTTATGAAGTCTACTTAGAAATGAAAAATATAGCAATAAAATCTAAAAAATGCAAGCATTTTTTTTTTCTTTAACATTTTTGATAGGTGAACATGATGAAAATCTTGGCAAGAAAGCAGAGATAATCTGCAAGAAGTATTGCTAATAAAGAGGACATTGGACTATAGAAAGACACAATTCTTAACATATATATGTATATCACTATGAAACAGTTGGAGACCATGTTGAGCAGTGTAATCACAAAATGTTTGATTTTGCAATTCTTGGAGAAATAAGGAGGGGACTCAGCAGAGCTGCTGCCTTGGACTTCCGGAGGGCAAACTTCGTCCTGTTTAGGAGCTTGGTTGGCAGGGTACCTTGGGAGGCAGTCCTGAAGGGCAAAGGAGTCCAGAAGGCTGGACATACTTCAAGAAGGAAATTGTCAAGGGGCTGGAGCAGGCCAGACTGAGTGAACAGAGAGCTTTGGCTGGAGCTCAGGGGAAATAGAAGAGTTGGAAGAAAGGCCAGGCCTCTCAGTAGGACTACAAGAATGTCATGAAGTTTTGCAGTGAGCAAATTAGAAGGGCCAAAACCCAGCTAGAACTTAATCTGGCTATTGTGTAAAATAGCCAATAAAGTGTTTCAATCAATACCTTTGTGACAAAAGGAGTGCTAAGGAGACTCTTGATGCTTTTTTGGATGGGAGGGGAAACAGTAACAATGAGGAAAAAGCTGAGGTACTCAATGCCTTTTTTGCCTCAGTCTTTAGTAATAAGATGAGTTGTTCTCTGACACCCCAGCCCCCTGAGGTGGGAGACAGGAGGGGAGAATAAAGCCCTCATAATCCAAGGGGAAATAGTGACTTGCTGTACCACTTAAACAGACACAAGTCCCTGGGACTGGTTGGGATCCAACCATGGGTAGTTAGGGAGCAGGCAGAAGTGCTCACTGAACTATCTTCTATAATTTTTCAGCAGTCATGGCCTAATGGGAAGGTCACGGTTGACTGGAGGTTAGCAAATGTGATGCCCAGTTACCAATAGGGTCAAAAGGATCCAGGGAACTAGAGGTCTGTCGGCCTTGCCTTTGGGGTGGGGAAAATCATGGAGCAGATCATCTTGAGTGCCATAATGTGGCACATACAGGACAACCAGGGGATCAGACCCAGCCAGCATGGTTTATGAAAGGCAGGTCCCTCTTGACCAACCTGATCCCCTTCTGTGACAAGGTGACCTAGTGGATTCAGTCTATCTGGTCTTTGGTAAAGCCTTGGACACTGTCTCACAGCATTCACCTGGAGAAACTGGCTGCTTTTGGCTTGGATAGGTGCACTGTTCAGTGGGTTAAAAACTGGCTGGGTGGCTGGACTCAGAGTGGTGTGAATGGTGCTACATCCAGTTGGCTGTGGGTCATTCATGATGCTCTCCAAGGTTCAGTATTGGGGCCAGTCCTGTGTAATATCTTTATTGATGATCTGGATCAAGTGTACCCTCAGCAAGTTTGCAGATGACACCAAGCTGGGTGTGAATGTTGATTTACTGGAGGGTAGAAAGGCTCAGCAAAGGGATCTGGTCAGGCAGGATTGATGGGTCGAGGTCAACGGCATGAGGTTCATCAAGGCGAAGAGCCAGGTCCTGCTCTTGGGTCACAACAACCCTGTGCAGCACTACAGCTGCGGGGAGAGCGTCTGGAAAGGTGCACCTGGGGGTGTCGGCTGACAGTTTTCTGAACATGAGTCAGTGCGTGCCCAGGTGGCCAAGAAGGTCAATGGCATGCGTCAGAAATGCCAGCAGGACCGGGGCAATGATCATCCCCTTATGCTCAGCACTGGTGAGGCCACACCTTGATTCCTGTGCTCAGTTTTGAGCCCCTCACTTCAAGTGCTAGAGCATGTTCAGAAAAGAGAAATAGGGCTGCTGAAGCATCTAGAGAACAGGTAGTATAAAAAGCAGTTGAAGAAATTTGGGTTCTTTATCATGAAAAAAGGGGGCCTGGAGGAAACTTTATGTCTCTCTATGACTACCTGAAAGCAGGTTGCAGCCAGGTGGGGCTTGGTCTCTTTTTCACAAATAACAAGTGACAGGACAAGAGGAAACAACCTCAAGTTGTGCCAGGAGAGGTTTGGATTGGATATTAGGAGATACTTCATGGAAAGGGTTGTCAAATATTGGAACAGTGGTTGAGTCACCATCCCTGAAAGTATTTAGAAGACACATAGGTGTAGGTTTCGTGGTGGACTTGGCATGGTTAGGTTAACAGTCGGACTCATTGATCTTTCCAACCTAAATGATTCTTTGAGTCTATGTAATAATTTCTATGAAATAAAATTCCATATCCAGAAAAAGTCAGTTTAAGCAACAGATACTTTTCAGTTATACCAAGTCAAATTATAATGTCAGAATATGTGCACAGCAAGTCACCTGAAAGCAGTCAGGACAGTCTAATGGGCTTCTTCCCATTCCCTGAGAAAAGGAGAGACAATAGAACTTTGCACACACTGGTTATTAATTTGAGCAATCATTTCATTGCTTCAGGTGCAATTTTAAACTGCATTGTTTTTTTTCATCAAAACAGAAGTTGAAAAAAACAAGTAAAAACTCCATACAAATATGAAAAATTGGTGAATTGATTAAGCAGCAGAGGGAGCTAAAGTACTGTGGAACAGCATGCTGCTGTGGAAAATCAGCTGCAGACTATACACAGCTGTGCTTCAGTGAACAGTTCACCCCTGGTTGAAATTTCTGTTTTAATCAAACCTGCATAACTTTAATATTAAAAGAGGTTCAAAATTAAACTATATTTCAATTCATTTTTTTTTCTGTTTCTGAAGAATATTTGCTTCCTTTAGAAGAATACTTCAAAACATGTATGGAAATACTTTTGCCATCTATGCTGTTTTGGAGTGTGATTGTGTTCACAGGGACACTTAGATAAATGCTGGGATGCATGTGGCAGACCAAAACGTTAAGCTATAAAGGCCCATCACTGGTAATCACAATTATGCAAATTATATTAGCTTAATTCCTTATTCCTTATGCCTGAATTTTCAGAATATTATAATTTTTTCTCTTAAATCTGAAAGATTTTCAAGTTTTGACCAAAAGAAAATAGATAATTGTCCAAATAGTAAAGATACATAATTTTACATAGAAGAGTAGTTTAATAAAGGGTCTTCAGTTATTCTATTTCTGCTAGAAAGGAAGTGCTAGCTGCGATATACCTCACTGAATAGCTGCTTGGTAGAATTCTTTTAAAGTTTGTAGCACCTAGCTCTCAGTTGCATGCATGTATGTCAGTTACCACAGGAGCCTTCATTTATTGATTATAGTTTTTAAAATCTGTTTTAGAGACAATAGCAATTAAAAGTGAAAACAACAAAAATCATCAGTAAATGGTAAAATCCAACTCTGGAATACAGAAAAGTAAAGAAATTCTCAGGGCATGGTCAGGGAGTCTTATTGTGTGCTAGATTAGAATTCAGCACCAAGAGGATGGAAATCCACCCAAATTACCCAATAAACACTTATCCTTTAGCCTG